CCCCAAAACCCCAAAACCCCAAAACCCCAAAACCCCAAAACCCCAAAACCCCAGCTAATATATAAATAGTTGAAAATATATAATTTTAGAGTGTAAAATGGAAGAAGGAAAGAAAGATTTGCCAACCATCCCACAGAACGAGATCAGAATCTCAGCCAAGGCCGGAGTCGGTAGATATGTCAGATATGTCTACAACCTTATGGAGAAGGACGAGACCAAGTTCGAAGAGGTCAACATTAAGGCTGCTGGAAGAGCTATCGAAAAGGCCGTGCCTCTTGTTGAGCTTCTTAAGAGAAGAATCAAGGGACTCCACCAGTTGAACAAGATTACCTCCACTACTGAGACTAGACATGACGGATCTGAGAGAGTTATTGTCACTCTTGAGGTTCTTCTTTCCAAGAACAAGCCTTCTGATGACGGTATTGGTTATCAGGCTCCAATCCCAGAAGACCAAGTAGAAGAATACAAGGAGACTATGCCCAGAGACGAGAAGGAAGGCGACTACTCCGCTCCTAAGGGAGGCAGAGGAAGCAGAGGTTTCAGAGGTGGCAGAGGATCCAGAGGCAGCAGAGGTGGCAGAGGCTCCAGAGGTGGTAGAGGCTCCAGAGGCGGCAGAGGATCCAGAGGTGGCTATGGCGGCTACAACTACGGACATGACGAAGGATACGGCTATAATGATGGCTATGGCTATGATGAAAGCTACGGTTATGATGATAACTATAACTACAGTGGCGGTTATGGATACCAAGATGATGGATACTATAACAACTATGATGAAGGTTATGGATATGATAGCTCTTACAAGAAGAGCTCCAAGACCGAACAAGAGAAGCCACTTGAGAAGCCAGCCAGAGGAAGAGGTGCTAAGAGAGGTGGATTCAGAGGTGGTGCCAGAGGAAGAGGAACCAAGTAAATTCCTTCCAGCTACTACTCAATTTTGCCAAATAATGAGTTAGGAAATATCCATTTTCCTAAACAGGGAATTTAATTGGTAAAATTCTACATCGAGTTTGAATAAGGGGTTTTGGGGTTTTGGGGTTTTGGGGTTTTGGGGTTTTGGGG